TCATACAAGCCGGGGTCAACAACAACAGGACAGAACAGTACAGGACAGCAGACGAGAATCACAGGTCACGAGCCGGGTTCAGCAACAGAGGGTCAGATCAAAGGAGAATACAAAGAATAGTCAAGACAAGCCGAATCAGATACCAGGAGTCACGAGAGTCAGAACAGAGTAACAGCAACACAAAGACACAAGACACAAGTGCAAAGAGCATGTGCGGACCACAGGCTTATATGTCATCAGCCACACCCCTCTGGAGGATGGACCACAGAAACCTGAAGGCATAAAAGGGCTCCCATCATGCACAGCAGAATCCAAGATGGACACCAGCACATGAAGTAACATAACCACAGGGAAAAGGTAGGACCTTGACACTCATCTCTCTCCTCATATCCTCTTACACAGCTTTTCTCCACACCTGCAGTGACCCTGGGGGGAGGAAACTTGGCACCAGCACGCCGCCAAATCCATCCCCACCATTAGGGGCTCTGGAGACAATTGTCTGCTATTTACACTCCGTTCCTCCGCACGTCACCTGATCACATGACCGCTTAATTCCACAGATTCCGGACAGATTTCTGGATGGTAAAGGTCAAAGTTCACTCTTCAGTTTAGGAGAGGTAGGACGCACCCAGGAACAAGGATTTGGTTTGCATGGGAGCCTCATATAGAGGACCCCTCAAATCTCCCCATGTAAATGTCCCTCCATCCAGAGTCTATATGTCCTATGACATCACACTGACCTCACAGCTCCTCCACCAATGTCCCTTCATCCAGAGTAAGAGAATCCTATGACATCACACTGACCTCACAGCTCCTCCTCCCAATGTCTCTCCATCTGATTTTTTCTGATGCTCTTAGGATGTGGGGCCCCTTGGTATCCTCACATGTAAAGTGGGACTGTTGGTCCTGCGTTGTATGTAATGACATCAGAATGCTGCAACAAGCCTATACCCTGCGTAGTGTGGGGGTCCTGTGGGGGGAATTATACCTCAGGGGCCTGAAGTGGGGCTTTAATAAAATGGAGACCTGAATGGAGAGGTGAGGAGGATTCTGGGAATATCATTTGATGTGACTATTTGTGTTCAGATGTAGAGTTTTCCTCCTGTGAAGTCTGGAGATCATATGACATCACATTGCCTCCACCTCCCTCCCTGATAGAAGAGAGAAAGAAGAAGAAGATTCTAGAAGGTCACCAAGAGATCACTGAGCTGCTGACCAGGAGAGGATGAGCGGTGCCGGAATTCTGGGACATTCCCTCCAGTAACAGACAAGGGATGTGTCTGGATGGTGACTGTATCATTGTGTGTGTCAGGTTTCCTATAAGTGGTGTCAGGGTTGTCACTGTCTATTTCTCCATGGAGGAGTGGGAGTATTTAGAAGGACACAAGGATCTCTACAAGGGACGTCATGATGGACAATCAGCCGCCCCTCACATCACCGGGTAAGAGGAGACTTTATTGTAAAGGAGAGAGCAGTACGGAGGATCCACCTAGATCCCCCATCATCTGATAAACACATAGAAACAATGGATTCAGTCAGTGTGTTGTGTTTCCTACAGATGGATCCAGTCATGGGAACCCACCAGAGAGATGTCCCGTCCTCTGGATTCCCGGGATTCCACACAGGAAGGTCACACCATCCCTCACCATCATCAGGTAGAATGAGGAACAATCACTGATAGTATCATTAGGATCTGTACATTATCTGCATTGTTACCATTGATGTCATTTTTATTATATATTCAGAGTGGGAAACCTGAGAGATCCTAAAAGTTGAGGTTAAAGAAGAGATAAAAGAGGATAGGAGGATGAGGATGGGGGGATGGTGAGGTAGATCAGAGCTTCTAAAATAACACAAAGATCTGTACCAGACACCATGGTGGAGTCATCCAGCTACAGGAACCCACCAGAGAGATGTCCCCCGTCCTCTGTTTCCCGGTATTCCACACAGGAAGGTCACACCATCCCTCACTATTACAAGGTTGGTGGGATGGAGCATCTAGAACATGGGACTCATGGAGACAATGTGTGGATATTTTATGTGACCTTATATTTTACAGATGATATTTTCTCTCATTTCCTTTGATTTAGAGTGGAGATCCAATCGATATAGAATTTGAGGTGAAAGCAGAAGAAGAAGAGGCGTATGTGAGGGATGATCAGCAGTCTTAATGGAGGAGGATGGAATAACGGGGACATTTATATGAGAGGAGGAACACTCCTACAGAGATCAGCACAGGTGGGGTCATGAACACTAAATCCATTCCTCCACCATACTGCTCACCTGATTGGTTTGCAGAGTAGGGCGGGGGACTGGGTGATATCAGCCTGTAATCCCTGGTCACTTTCCTGAGCTGTGTTCCCCGTCCTGTATTCCTGGATTTCTCTCGGATAAATCTTCCTTCTCTGTGCTGCAGACACAATTTATGTATCTAGACTGGATTTATGGAGGTTCTGGGTTCAGCTGGCAGAAAAATGTTAGATTATCACCATAGACATTGCTTGACTCGGCACTTGGCATTTAAGTCTTGGGTCTTCTACCCCATGCCCGGGTCTAGTGAGATCTCTGACAGAACAATTCTCCCAGGTTTCCTTGCTCTGTAGTCTGCTGGCTGTGCCGGGTGGAGGGGGATATGTCTGTAGTGTCTCAGACCCAAGTCACTGAGTGCAGTCTCAGGAGATGGGAGGCTGTTATTCAAAGCGGTGTGGGATCTCTGCAACATTAAACATTTAATCTTCCACTGATTACTGAATACCAATATTGTGTGTGTGTGCATATGTATATGTGTGTATATATAATATATATATATATATATATATATATACACACACCACACACACACATTGGTATTGCCAAGCTGGCTCAATCTGGCCGAGCAGCTACATCCAAGCCTTTCTCCATCACCAAGTGCAATGCAAAGCATCGGATGCCGGGGTGTAAAACACACCGCCACTGGACTCTAAAGCATGGAGATGTGTTCTCTGGAGTGACCAATCTCACTTCTCTGTCTGGAAAATCCGATGGACGTGTCTGAGTTTGGCTGTAGCCAGGAGAACGGTACTTTCCCTGACTACAATGTGCCAAGTGTAAAGTTTGGTGGTGGAGGGGGATTATGGTGTGGGGTTGTTTTCAGGGGTTGGGCTTGGCCCCTAGTTACAATGAAGGGAACTCTTAAGGTGTCAGCATTACAAGACATTTTGGACAAATTCATGCTCCCAGCTTTGTGGGAAGAAGTTTGGGGACGGCCCCTTCCTGTTCCAACATGACTGCACACCAGTGCACAAAGCAAGGTCCATAAAGACATGGAGGAGCCAGTTTGGGGTGGAGGAACTTGACTGGGCCTGCACAGAGTCCTGACCTCAACCCTATTGAGAACACCTTTGGGATGAATTAGAGCGGAGACTGCGAGCCAGGCCTCCTCCCCCGACATCAGTGCCTGACCTGACAAATGTGCTTCTGGAAGATTGGTCCAACCTTCCCATAGACACCCTCCTAAACCTTGTGGACGGCCTTCCCAGAAGAGTTGAAGCTGTTATAGCTGCAAAGGGCGGGGCCAACTCAATATTGAATATATATATGTTGTTATATGTAATATTTATAATGTGTGTATATATTTATTATATAATGTGTGTATGTATGTTGTTGTATATATGTATATATATGTATATATATATATGTAATTTATTTATATGTATGTAATGTATGTGTGTGTGTGTGTGTGTGTGTATGTGTGTTATAAATATATATAATTATATATATATATATATATATATATATATATATATATATACAGTTGTGCTCAAAAGTTTACATACAGTGGCAGAAATTGTAACCCGTGTGTGTCACCTTGTGTGTCTGTACCAAGGCCAGACCTTCCAGGGGGTGGAGACTTCTGATCGGGCCATTTGGATGATTTCTGTTATCATTATGATTTAAAAAGGAGCCAAACAACTATTTGATAAAAAATTTCACAATTTCTGCCAGGGGATGCAAACTTTTTAGCACAACTGTTTACACATTATATTGCCAAAAGTAATGGGCCGCCTGCCTTTCCACACACATTACCATTACATTATATAATTGTTATTGCATATTTCTTACTCCTGACCCCTGGACCTATGTTCTACATTACATGTTCTGATACTATATTGTCCTAACTAACTTTTGTTTCCTATATAATAACTTGTACATTACATAATGTAGGTCTTACTTATTTTGAACTTATTTCCTACTGCTGGACATTTTATATCGGATGATGTGATTGGAGCACAGACCTTTTACATGGTGATAATAATTGTGATAACATCCTCCAACTTTGGACCCTTAAACAGAAAGTGATAATGAGGGAGGAGTCAATACCCCAATGATGGTGGTCTTCAGGATCAGTCCAGTCTTCATCTTGGTTGTTCTCCCCCCCATCCTCACTCTCTGACCTCTGGTGGGGCTCAGCCCCGCTGTTCTTCATGACTAAATCATGGAGTAAATAAGGAAAGTGCAGTACTTCTTGTGTTGGGAAGATGGCGATGAGTGATAGAGGGGGTGGGGACCCTCGTCCTATAATCCCCTCATCACTGTCCCTCCTATAAAAGACAGTTCTGGTTGTTTCCTCACTCTCTGACTAAGGTCCATGAATAAAGAAATGACCTGGTAGGAGATCAGAGGAGCCATTTCCTAGTTCCCTTGAGGGTGGAATTGTAAGCTCCTCAGAGACCAAGCTGCCTGATGTGGGCGGAGTCCTGGTTTGGGGGAACCAATCAGCTCCTGTCTAGTAATCCTCTTTGTCTTTGTATTTTAGTCCATGGCCGGGAGATGAGGAAAACCTCCGAGGATTGTCTCACTTTGTCTCCAGACTGGAAAGTAGAAGATGAGGACATCACACAGTATAGTCCAGGAGAAAACCCGGCTCCCTCCAATGTCCATCTGGCACCACCCAGTGTAGATGGACCATCGGATTCCTCGTATCCTGAGGAACCTCAGACTGTGCGGGACCGGGCGGCCTTCCAACAGGGAAGAGTTCTCCTGTACTGAGTGCGGGAAAGTTATTCAGTTATAAATCCAAACTTAATGTGCATATAAGATCTCACTCAGGAGAGAAGCCACATTCCTGTCCTGAGTGCGGGAAATGTTTTTCACAAAAATCCCATCTACAAATACATCACATAAGACATCACTCAGGGGAGAAGCCATATTCCTGTCCTGAGTGTGAGAAATATTTTGTACAAAATTCACATTTTGTTACACATCTAAGGCTTCACACAGGGGAAAAACCATACTCCTGTACTCAGTGTGGGGAATGTTTTTCAAGGAAGTCTAGACTTTACATACATCAGAGATCTCACACAGGGGAGAAGCCGTATTCCTGTCCTGAGTGCGGGAAATGTTTTTCAGTGAAGTTCAATTCTTTACAAGCATCAGAGATCTCACACGGGGGAAAGGCCATATTCCTGTCTAGAGTGCGGAAAATGCTTTTTTGCAGAAGTACCATCTTGACACACATCTGAGATCTCACACAGGGGAAAAGCCATTTTCCTGTTGTGAGTGCGGGAAATGTTTTTCACACAAATCCAGTCTTTCCAGACATCAGAGATCTCACATGGGGGAGAAGGGACTTCCCTGTCCTGAGTGAGGGAAATGTTCCTCACTGAAGTCCTGTCTTCCTGTACATCAGGGGTCCCACAGAACCCTCGAGGTGTATTGATGCCTTGAGTGTGGGAAATGTCTTCTAGATGAATGTTGTTGGACATCCCAGCTCTCATGTGGGGAAGAAGCACACCCTGATATACACCTCAGATATACTCCATGGCTGATCTTCAACATGGAAGAAACAGTTCATAAGGAGATCAGAGGTCACCAAAGACATGGATGAAGTGTGGGACCGGGTTGGCCATTGATAGCAGGAGAGAATAAAAATGGAATCAATGGACTCAATGTTCTAGCAGAAGCTCTCACAAACACTTGGAGGTCTGATGGAGGTGTGGAAGTGTGAGGTCCTGCCACTGAGAATGACACAGGGTCCTCCTGGCTGCAGTTTGAGAGCTCCAACATGTATTTTGTGAGCAGAGAATACTGTGTTCTAGGTTTTCAATGGATTTAGGAGGAAGCCATGGAAGTGAATGGTGAGAAGTTTGAGAACAGAGCAATGCTTCTAAGTCAGCCCATAAGGAGCCATGTATTGTGGTGTAAAGGGAGGTTAGTGGGGTAATCTGGGCACCAAGAAATATTTAGTAAAAACTGAAACACCCAAACCTCCTTGTTCCTTATGTATGAATATCGCATGTCTTGAGATTTGTGGCCCTTTGTCTGCTCAGTGGAATCACAAAAACGGATTTTAAAAAGATTTGAGAGTATAGGAGGAGATGGGGAGTATTGGAAGAGTATGGAACAAGGAAAGGAGTTTTTTTGGTAAAATTGTCATATTTCCATCACTGATCCTCCCTATCCAGGAGAGGTGAAGATGAGTCCAGGACAGAAGTAGGACTCTCAAGTATTTGAAAGTGGGGATGTAGTTGGCCTCATGGAGTGTGTTGTACGAGCGAGGGAGATGAATGCCCAAATAATCCAGGTAGGAGGTGGGCCAAGGAAACTATAATTCTGTTTTACAGAGGAAAGGGAAATGTATGGAGTATAGAGAGTAGGACTGGCAGCGAGGTGTTGGGTTGGACCAAAGTTATCAGATGCCCGTTGGCAAACAAACTGACTGTAACCAGTTCAGGACCACCCACAGCACTTATACTGCGGCAGGGGAGCCCCTCTGTGCCAGATCACATATAGTACATGTACACTCACAAGCCCACCGCCCTGACTGTGCTGTCATTTAGTACAGCACAAGTTGATTATTAGGTCCAGGCCAATGATTTCTGGCCTGGACCTGCTGATCACCTGTACAGAATCAGAGATCAGCCTGTGTCCATATTTGTAAACACAGCAACTGGAAACGTACACTAGTAAAGAGGCCTTCAGGATTCTGAGCATGTCAGATGAGAGTGAAGGGGAAGTCTCACTGTCAGAATCAGGATCAGAATATGAACCTATAGAAAGCAGCAACATCCTGACAGTGAGCTCAGATGATGGAGAAGAGGTCCCTGCTAAGGTCAGGCATACCCCAACCCCATACCAAGGTTGCTGAGGTGTTAGAAATGCAGGATTATTCTCATGTGCAGCAGAGTGCCAGTACTAGTGCGGCACTACCTTTTGGTGAGCTGGCGGGCACTAGCAGCCTAGTACATCCTGGTCTTTTACCCACCACCACTGCGGTATCTCATGTTGGCGTGATGAGTCCCAGAAGTACAGTCTAAGTTGGTGAGGTGGCGAGCACTAGTAGCATCCCGCAGCCACCAAGAATTTGAACACATGACCATAGAGCTCATAGTGTCCTTCCAGAGGTGCTTGCAAATCCTGATTTGGCAGCCCCCAGATTCAGCAGCACCCATACTTCCCCATTCATAGGCCAGCCTGGAATTCAGGTGGAAACAGACAATTTAACAACTCCCCCCCCCCCCCCTTTTTTTAACTATATGATTTCATTGTAGACCAAAGCAATCTTTATGCTGATCAGTACATTGCCCCCAACCTGAATTCATACCTTGCCAGACCTTTTCAAGTTTAAATTTTTTTGGAGGGCCTAACCCTCGACATGGACATTATAAAAAAGAATGAACTGCGTTCCTGTTGGTCCACACACCCGATTCATCATATGCTTGAGGTCTCTGCTGCAATGGCCAGATATGAGAATATAATGCATATTTTAATGACATACCGTCTGTCATGAAGAACTATGATCACAAAATGTGGACCCTCGTAAATTACTGGTCCCAAAACATCTGCTTAGATGAGTCCCTCATGAACTTTTTTGGTCACCTTACATTCAAGCAATATCTTCCCCAGCAAGTGTGCCAGGATATCACAAATGACCCCTTTTTGGAAAGTAGATACTACAAGGTATTTGCTAAGAGGCATGGTGAATATTTCGCAGATCTTGTTGCTGCATGTTTTTTGAAAAATGAAGAAAGGGGAAAAAAAAAAAAAAAAAATATATATATATATATATATATATATATATAAATAAATTAGATCTGCAAAATACTCATTCATGCCTCTTATCAAATTCCTTGGGGTGCCTACTTTCCATAAAAGGGTCAATTGGGGGGAGTTTTTGGACTATCCTGGCATTTTCAGGGTCTCCAAATCTGTGCTAGGAAGTAAGAAAGCAACATTAACTGGTAATTGTGCGGTAATGCAATGCTCTTTGAAAGCCTGAAGGTGGTCATTGGATTCTGGGGGTCTTACATTTACGGTGAGGAATACAGGATCATGGATTATTCTGATATATATTAACTGATTATAGTTGATGTAAGATAGTTTGCCTAATGTAATTTCTACTTTTAGATGTGTCAGAGAAATCATTGTGGATGGCAGTCTTTTGGGTGGCTGTATGCGTGCCATGTTAGTATCCACCACAATGTCAGCAAAGGTGCTGACAGTGGTTACAGAGGGGGATTTTTGTCATAATATTTGCAGCGTGAATGGACATATAATTTGCTGGTCTCTCTGAAACTTGGCTCCATATTGACGAAGATATATGAAATACAAATAAAGTGGATTTTGGATGTTTAGAAAAAGCCTTTTAAATTATGAGCAGAATATAGAAGAGAGTAAAGACTACAACATGTATGCTTGGTGAGTGCAGTTCCCTCTGCTGGTATAATCTGTTGCCCCATTTCAAGAGGGAATGTTTCTGGAAGTTTCATCTAATTATGGTGTTAATCTGTCTTACATAGTGTCTGGGAATTATCCTCAGAGGTGTATCTCTTCCCCTTCTTTGGTGGTGTGCTCCTACATCCACCCTAGAGACCTCTTCAAACCATCCACTGTTCAGAAAGGTTTTGTTCAGGCAAGCATGCTTTTAGTGACATATAGATGTATTATGGATTGTTGATATATGTTCACATTATACATTTATATATATATATATATATATATATATATATATATATATATGTACAGGGGGCAAAAAAGTATTTAGTCACCACCAATAGTGCAAGTTCTCCCACTTAAAAAGATGAGAGAGGCTTGTAATTGGCATCATAGGTAGACCTCAACTATGAGAGACAAAATGAGAAAACAAATCCAGACAATCACATTGGCTGATCTGGAAAGAATTTATTTGCAAATTATGGTGGAAAATAAGTATTTGGTCACCTACAAACAAGCAAGATTTCTGGCTCTCACAGACCTGTACCTTCTTCTTTAAGAGGCTCCTCTGTCCTGCACTCATTACCTGTATCAATGGCACCTGTTTGAACTTGTTATCAGTATAAAAGATACCTGTACACAACCTCAAACAGTCACACTCCAAACTCCACTATGGTGAAGACCAAAGAGCTGTCGAAGGACACCAGAAACAAAAATTTGTAGACCTGCACCAGGATGGGAAGACTGAATCTGCAATAGACAAGCAGCTTGGTGTGAGCAAATCAACTGTGGGAGCAATAATTAGAAAATGGAAGACATACAAGACCACTGATAATCTTGCTCGATCTGGGGCTCCACGCAAAACGGTGAGCAAAAATCCCAGGACCACACGGGGGGACCTAGTGAATGACCTGCAGAGAGCTGGGAACAACGTAACAAAGGCTACCATCAGTAACACACTACACCGCCAGGGACTCAGATCCTGCAGTGCCAGACGTGTCCCCCTGCTTAAGCCAGTACATGTCCGGGCCCGTCTGAAGTTTGCTAGAGAGCATTTGGATGATCCAGTAGAGGATTGGGAGAATGTCATATGGTCAGATGAAACCAAAATAGAACTGTTTGGTAGAAACACAACTCGTCGTGTTTGGAGGAGAGAGAATGCTGAGTTGCATCCAAAGAACACCATACCTACTGTGAAGCATGGGGGTGGCAACATCATGCTTTGGGCTGTTTCTCCACAAAGGGACCAGGACGACTGATCCATGTACAGGACAGAATGAATGGGGCCATGTATCGTGAGATTTTGAGTGCAAACCTCCTTCCATCAGCAAGGGCATTGAAGATGAAACGTGGCTGGGTCTTCCAACATGACAATGATCCCAAACATACCACCCAGGCAACGAAGGAGTGGCTTCGTAAGAAGCATTTCAAGGTCCTGGAGTGACCTAGCCAGTCTCCAGATCTCAACCCCATAGAAAACCTTTGGAGGGAGTTGAAAGTCCGTGTTGCCCAGCGACAGCCCCAAAACATCACTGCTCTAGAGGAGATCTGCATGGAGGATGGGCCAACATACCAGCAACAGTATGTGCCAACCTTGTGAAGACTTACAGGAAACGTCTGACCTCTGTCATTGCCAACAAAGGATATATAACAAAGTATTGAGATGAACTTTTGATATTCACCAAATACTTATTTTCCACCATAATTTGCAAATAAATTCTTTCCAGATCAGCCAATGTGATTGTCTGGATTTGTTTTCTCATTTTGTCTCTCGTAGTTGAAGTCTACCTATGATGCCAATTACAGGCCTCTCTCATCTTTTAAGTGGGAGAACTTGCACAATTGGTGGTGACTAAATACTTTTTTTGCCCCACTGTATATTATACTGTGTATGGCAACACCTACCTAAATCAGTCCTGGAGAAGTGAGAAAAATTAGCAAAATGCATCAATTTCTGAGTATGGATCTGCTGAGGACATGTGAACTACAGGCCAATTATACCTTTACAATCTGTATACAATAATTGATATATAGTTATCATTAGGCCTAGTTCCAGGCTCCATCTCGGTTGGGTGTTGACCAATATAACACACATGTACTTGCTTTTATTGTGAATAATTTAAATTTTTGTGAAAATAAAAAAAATTGCAATGTTACATAGTGACGCGTGGTGTTTTTCAGTAGAATCTATAACTTGGTAACTTTGGTTCCAAACAATACACATGCAGATTAGGATGTGGCACGGTGAGGGTCTCACATTTTGGGGGCCTGTACATAGCTAGGCTGCCAACTATCTCTCAGTTGTGGTATCACCATACTCAGGAGAAGTAGATGAATGTGTTTTGGGGTCTAATTCTGCATATACCCATGGCATGTGTGAGAAATATCTCCACAAATTGACAACTTTGTGTAAAAAAAAAAAAAAAAAAAAAAAAAAAAGGAAAAAAATTTTTACTGTTTTATTTACTAAACACTTGTGGCAAAAAGTAAAATGAAACCTCCCATGAACTCTCCATGCCTCTCAGCAAATACCTTGTGGTATCTACTTTCCAAAATGTAGTTTTTGGGGGGATTGCTTCTCCTACCCTGGTATTTCAAGGCCTCTAAAACTGTGATAGGTAGCGAGGAAGTGAAATGAGGACATTTCAGCTCGTGAAAACCTGAAGATGGTCATTGGTTTTCGGCCACGTGCGCAGCTAGGCCACCAAAAAATCTCTCACATATTGTATCCCCATACTCAGAAGAAGGATCAGAATATGCATTGGGGTGTAATTTTACATATACCCATGGCATGTGTGAGAAAAATCTTATTAAAATGACAATTTTGTGTAAAAAAAAAAAAAGTCATTTATAAAAAAAAAAAAAATTGTGACAAAAAATAAAATCTTCCCTGGACTCAGCATGCCTCTCAGCAAATTCTTTTGGGTTTCTACTTTCCAAAATGGGTTATTTGGAGGGTGTTTTATACTGCCTGAGATTTGATCACCTGGCAGTCAGACAGTAAAAGCTGCACTTATTAGGATTTTTTTTTATCAAAGACATGTAGCAGAACACACTTTAACCTTAATTTATGACTACATTAAAATTTATTGGATTTTTTTTAAATAACAGAAAGTAGAAAATATCATTTCAAAATTTGGGGTATTTTTTGTTTATATTGCAAAAAAAAAAAAAAACCCAGTGGTGATCAAATACCACCAAAAGAAAGCTTTATTTGTGGGGAAAAAAATGATATGAATGTTGTTTGGGTACTGCATTGCATTACTGCACAATTACCAGTTAATGTAGCGCAGTGCTGTATTGCAAAAAATGGCCTGGTCAGGAAGGGGATAAAATGTTCCGGAGGGCAGGTGGTTATGACCCAGTTTCTTGTGGCCGAGTATATGTCTGTATCAGGAAGGGGTTAGAGATGCACTTGCTTTTTAGGTAGAATATTCTGAGCAGACAAGGGGTCCATGTAGATGACATACACTGTGCAGTTTTATAACTTCATGTAGCCGGAATACCTGTAGGCCATTCCGGATGGCAAATGCCCACACTGTCTGTATTATATCCAGCAACACAGGAGTGATCACATTCCCGTGTTCAAATGTCGCACATACACGTGTGCTTTCTTCTATAGGAGCAGCGGCTGAGCTCAGTGTTGTTAGGGAAGGGAGTGCACTGGGCATGCTCAGCATTTAGGCATGGAAGCATGATAACCACCCCGGACCTCACTCATATACATAGCTGGGTAGGGATGAGACGACAGTACAAACCAAACTTTGCCTGTTCCGGTCCCGTGTTTTGCAGGAGCCGATCATCACATATAGAAGAGACATTTCTACCACTTCTATATATAACAGCTTCCCGCTGTCACTGGTGCCTGAGGAAGACATGGATGGGTACAGCGGCCACACCCCCAGGAATCAGTGATGTCATTGGGAATCCCTGCCATGTAAGGAAGGGGGCGGGGATAGCAGTGACATCACTGACCAAATATGGTCACTGGTCACATTTGGGTAATAAGGTCCCACCATCCCTGTCCCTTCACTTATGTAGATGATGACAGTTTAGGGAGCTGTCATTGGGCTGGTGCTATTGTCGGGTACTATATACCCCATACTCATTCACATGGGGGGACGGTATATGGGGGCCCCTTGTTATTAAAGGGGGTTTACCAGAATCCAATATGACCCCCCCACCCACAGATCCCCACAGCCACCAGCCAAGGTGCTATGCCTGGGGGAATCCCCCCTGGTAAGGTGACCCCCATGTTGTGGACATGTGGCCTGGTATGGATCAGGAGGGGGGGGCACACTACAGCCCCCCTCTGCACTCTGTATGGTGGGCTGTATATGATATACTGCTGACCCCCGCACTCTGCGCCGTTATTGAAGGGTGTGAGGTGTCACCGAGGAGCAATGTTCTATATTGAAGTTTGCCCCGTCATTGCACCGACACACACAATAGTTTTTGTTCAATAAATGTTTTATTATAATTTTACATTTAACAAGATTGAAGCATAAAAATCAGGAAATAGTAAAGGAAGGAATCCGATTGGTCAGGAAGATCCCTTGTCTGGAATGTGGGGGCGGAGTCATTATTATTGGTGTACAATACAATACACAACGTGTTCCATTATTATAACAAAGTATTGTAGAAAAGATCCCAACATAGAAAATGGGGGAAAGGAGGAAATAAAGGCGGATATGAAGGGGAATCTGTGTACGGGGAACACCTTAACAATCACCACCATTTTATTCTCCAGGGCCTCTGATGTCACAGAATAGATGTTTGGGGGTTTATCTCATCTTCAGGACCAAAATCTGCATTTTCCCATGTGTGCAAAATCATGCAGAAACAGCTCTGGCAGTGAGAGGGTTAATGTGGGCTAGATGGGATCCTCTGCTGGGGTGACATTAGAGCTCCCCCTAGCTGCAGCCTGGTAATAACATTGCTGGGAGGTCTCTTCATTTCTCTGCTCCATACTTCCCGTCTTTATAGAAACGTCTCCTGACATTTGGGGGTCTATTCATAGAATGTTTGTATAGCAATTCCCTCAGTGAGAGTTCATGTCCATTCCTCCTGTGTGAATGGGGGAACCAATGTTATTAGGATCACATCTGAGCTGCTGGAATGTCTTCCATTGATGGAAAATACATTGAAAACTTCTTCTGCTGCCATCAATGGCCGACCCGGTCCCACACTTCATCCATGTCTTTGGGGACCTCTGATCTCCTTATGAACTGTTTCTTCCATGATGAAGATCAGCCATGGAGTATATCTGAGGTGTATATCAGGGTGTGCTTCTTCCCCACATGAGAGCTGGGATGTCCAGCAACATTCATCTAGAAGACATTTCCCACACTCAAGGCACTAATACACCTCCAGGGTTGTGTGGGACCCCTGATGTACAGGAAGACAGGATGTCAGTGAGGAAATTTCCCTCACTCAGGACAGGAAAGTGGCGGCTTCACCCCAGTGTGAGATCTCTGATGTGTGTAAAGATTGGACTTCACTGAAAAACATTTCCCACACTCAGGACAGGAATATAGCTTCTCCCCCTGTGTGAGATCTCTGATGTGTATGAAGAATGGACTTCCACGCAAAACATTTCCCACACTCAGGACAGGAATATGGCTTCTGCCCCGTGTGAGATCTCTGATGTCTGTAAAGAGTGGACATATGTGAAAAACATTTCCTGCACTCAGGACAGGAATACGGCTTCTCACCCCAGTATGAGATCTCTGATGTGTGTGAAGAAGGGACTTCACTGAAAAACATTTCCCGCACTCAGGGCAGGAATGTGGCTTTTCGCCTGTGTGAGATCTATGATGTCTGTAAAGATGAGACTTTACTGAAAAGCATTTTCTGCACTAAGGACAGGAATACGACTTTTGCCCCGTGTGAGATCTCTGATGACTATGAAGTTTGGACTTCTCTGAAAAAATTTCCCACACTCAGAACAGAAAAATAGTTTCTCCCCCGTGTGAGATCTCTGATGTCTATAAAGACTGGACTTCAATGAAAAAATTTTCCCACACTCAGGACAGGAATACGGCTTCTCCCCCGTGTGAGATCTCTGATGTGTGTAAAGATTGGACTTCACTGAAAAAACATTTCCCACACTCAGGACAGGAATACGGCTTTTCCCCCGTGTGAGATCTTTCATGCACATGAAGTTCTGATTTATGATGGAAACCCTTCCCGCACTCAGGACAGGAATGTGACTTCTCCCCCGTGTGAGATTTTGATGTCTGTAAAGATTGGATTCTTTGAAAAAAACATTTCCCGCACTCAGGGCAGGAATATGGCTTCTCCCCTGTGTGAGATCTCTGATGTGTGTGAAGATTGTTTCCCGCACTCAGTACAGGAATAAGGTTTCTCTCCCGTGTGAGACCTTTTATGCCTATTAAGATGGTATGTAGAACGGAACCTCTTCCCGCACTCAGTACAGGAGAAGCTCTTCCCTGTTGTAAGGTCGGCCCGGTCCCGCACAGTCTGAGGTTCCTCAGGATACGAGGAATCCGATGGTCCATCTACACTGGGTGGTGCCGGATGGACATTGGAGGGAGCCGGGTTTTCTCCTGGACTAGACTCTGTGATGTCCTCATCTTCTACTTTCCAGTCTGGAGGCAAAGTGAGACAATCCTCGGAGGTTTTCCTCATCTCCCGGCCATGGACTAAAATACAAAGACAAAGAGGATTACTAGACAGGAGCTGATTGGTTCCCCCAAACCAGAACTCCGCCCACATCAGGCAGCTTGGTCTCTGAGGAGCTTACAATTCCACTCTCAAGGGAACTAGGAAATGGCTCCTCTGATCTCCTACCAGGTCATTTCTTTATTCATGGACCTTAGTCAGAGAGTGAGGAAAACAACCAGAACTGTCTTTTATAGGAGAGACAGTGATGAGGGTTGTCACGGTCACCCGTTCGCCACCTTCAACATGCGACAATCGCACAACCGTGGCCAACAATAATACGTCACGCCCGCGGCGTCAGACCCCAGACCTTCTCACCAAACTCGTGACCAAAGGACCGGCCCGATCTAAAACCGCGATGTAACACGCGTAACAATGCCGCACTCAGCTGCGCCCTGCACAACGATTGTCCAGCTAATGGAACACAATCGACGCACCGGCAGCCTGAATGCGCTTGTTACTGGGTCAGGTTAATTACGCAACTAACCCTTCACTGCCACCACCCCTTTTTGTACAGAGAAAGGGGAAACTCTTTATCCAATATACACTGTAATGGTTGAAAGTCTCCTGTCCAATACGGTCACTGCAGGCGATTGGACAGAGGATTTAACAAACACAGTAGCGTCTCTTCAGAAGGCAGGGATTCGTAAATTGCAATTAAGCGCTTTAGAAACAGTTTAACACTTTCAAAAAGAAAGATTTATTACTAAAAGAGTCAAACAGGTGCAATAAAATATTTACAGAAAAAAGATGTAACTGAGATATATATTTATATATACATAGAAAACAGCCCAGCACAGCAAAGAGATAACAGGGAGAGAAGTTAAAAGGTTAAGTTACTTGCCATGTTCAGCCTTAAGGTAAGCAGATCCAACTTGCAGAGCGGAAAGGGTCTTTGATCTCCTGCTTTTACGATGTTAAAATTAGGAGATCACTTTAGCTTAACTCTTTAGGCTTGCCAGCCTGTCTTTTAAAGTCCCCTGCAGGGGGGGGGGGGTGGCTCTGAATTACTGGCCAATACGCTGTTTTGGGAGGGGTCAGTCGGCGAACTCTGAATTAGAACCAATCCATGACATGAAACATAGGGAAAAAACCTGACTGGAGGAATGTTCATTTCATTCTGTCACCTTTAACTGTTAGGTTTTATGAGGTTACAATCTCTTTTCCTTCTCAATTCTTGGGAGAAGCTGCCTTATCTGTTTTATTTGATGTGTGAGCCTACACAGGGTTCTTGGGTCAGTGCTTCCCAATTATCTGAGGAACACTGGCCTTATCATGACTTAGGTGAGGAAGCCTACACTTTCACAGACTGCTCGGCACCGAACTAAGGATGCCTTAACCTGCGGTTGACCCATACCACCTCACCATGTGTCACTGTGACTTATCAGGAAGGGAGGGGGAAAATAAAGGATTGAGGCATACTCCTAATAAAAATGGGGAACTCCGCGTCCAACTCTGATGAGCAAGTTTGCTACAAGGGGATTATAGGACGAGGGTCCCCACCCCCTCTATCACTCATCGCCATCTTCCCAACACAAGAAGTACTGCATCTTCCTTATTTAGTCCATGATTTAGTCATGAAGAAGAACAGCGGGGCTGAGCCCCACCAGAGGTCAGAGAGTGAGGATGGGGGGAG